CTACGAGAGAAGCAATGCGCCTATTTTCACGATTCGTGTTCTCGGCGCCATTTTGATTCTCTGGAGACTTTTCGCACACAATTTCATATTTGGCGCCGAAGCTAATATTTCAGCCCGGGCTGAAATTCGTTATGTAATCGCAACAAAATTTCAGCCCCCTAGCCGGGCTGAAATTTCAGCCCGGGCTGAAATTCGCCATGTAATCAGGCCCTTAAGGTCCCTAATATTTTTAGCGACGACTTCAAGCTTCATGCATGACTGGTCACGCCACTCAATTTTGAGCCAATCACGAATCCCGTTATATGAAAAATACATTACAGTAATTTATGCATTAGGTGCGACACATGAGGAGAACGCCGTATGAATCAGCTGCCGTTCCAAAGTCGCATAGTGCGACAGACCCTGCCGAATTTAACGTTGTTTGCTGCACCAAACCTAACCTACCGAACCAAAATGATTCAAACGCCGCTCTTCTTGCCGTACTTAACTCATAAGTTAGGTTCGGCGCATGAATGGAGCGGCGTTTGGAACGGACCTCAGAAATCGTGAGAAATTCGACAATTGATCAGTTTTATTTCAAAGTTCTTGATTTAGTTTAATAGCAAACCCGATAAGGTTTAATATGGTACGGGAGTTCAGGTATCTACAGTTTAAACCGGACGTGCTACATCGCTTGAACGCGAGACATGCACCTAAATGTATATGGTAGCAACTGAAGAGCGCATAGTCTCTCAGAAATGAAGTGATATATGGTGTTTTAAAACAAAACATAAAAGTTGGAACACTGTTACCTATGAACCTGTCGACGAATGATGGTAGCACAGTAGCAGGAGTATTGAGAATTCTACTCAGGAATAGACGGACTGTCTCCTCTATTTTCATAAGTAACTCTTGAATCTGGCGAATAAAGTTGGAATCGCATTTAGTTTTCCCGTTGGTCAGGAATTTTGAAATCATAGAAATTTTCAAAACGATAAGCAAAGTAATAAAACAATTAACAAACGAACTATTGACTTTAACTATATTTAATCTTCAACAGCTAAAATCAACAACAACAAAAAGATACCTGATTATTAACAATACAATAATTATATAAGGAAAATCAGCTAATGAAGGACTCCATCGTTACCACTTACCAAAGTAGCTGAACAATTCCTACTTGTTTCGCCGTGAACGGATTTGGTCAAGGTTTTTCCCTGGCAAGCACAAAGTAATAGCTTGGGTTCTAAAACTATGATAATTTTTGAATTGAGGCTGCCATAGAACCGCTGTTTTCAAACACCTCCAAAATCCGGACATGCTGTTCACACGGTCCCAGAAAATGCGGAATTCATATATTTCGATGGGTTTAAATACACTTGCATCGTCAGTGCATCGAAAATCATGTCGACGTCGGGTGAAATATTGAAATAATAGAAAAGCATCCGGCAATGAGAGCATAACACAAACCCCTGAATCCTTCGCAATCTTGTCAAATATCAAACCGCTGAATAAAACAAGTTGTATTAAAATAGGATGGAAAAAGTTTCTTATTACTGGCAAAAAATCCCATGCTCCTTTGTGGCCCGTGTGACAACATGTGACATGATATTGCACTACTAGTGAAGAACCAAAAATAATGTGGACTTACAACAGAAGTCAATGTCTCGTTGATGGCAGAGGAACCAGTTGTCCGTTTAGCTGTCGAATGAAAAGATAATTGTTACGGCAAACATGTACAGTATTTATGTCCTTTAACTTCGTCATCCCTTCCCCAAATGCATGACATCGACTGTCTTTGTTAAGTTTCTAAATAACAATATGGTGCTAGGGAAGAAACTGACAAATCTTACAAGTAACTAATTATCGTTCGATCAGAACTTTTAGCGTTGGCAATAAACCTTCAGTTCATGAAAGATTAAGTGGGCTCAGCGGGCACGTAGATGCAAATTAATTAAAGCCATAGGGACGCACATCTCACCATACGTCAATTATCTACTTACGGGGGAGGACAAAAAGCTTATGGTATTTGGTGTCTCTGAAAATTAAAACCCACAGAGTTTGTTTTCGAGCAATAATTTTAAGCCGCTCTAATTGTCACATATTGCGTGAATTTTTATGGTTGCAGAAATACTAGATGTATGATAGAGCGTTACGGAGGCCAGGTTCCAGTATATGTCCGGCCAGATGGATGACTAATAATAAAATATCTTTAGCCAGGAGACAACCTCACCATCAGGAAGTTTTCAGGCTGATCCTGACTGCAAGTCAAAATTGTAGATATAGATGACTGGATTTTAGCTCAGAGTCTTAATCATGACTCTAAAGCTATGTTTCATCTATTAGTGGTTTGAATTTGTGACCACCTGTGCCAATGTCTTAAAACATTCAACTTGTGTATTTACCGGAAGGCAAATAGCTTGTTGTAGTGCTCCGGGTCACTGGAAGTAAGCAAATAAAGATTTTTCGATCAATTGAGGCCTGAACAGTATTCCTTCCTCAAGATAGAAAACAACCTTTATTTGATACTTGTAGCAAACTGACTCAGGTAAACGTGGCTTAGAAAAGAAAGGTGAAGGAAATTATTCCCTTTTTCGGGCGTACTAACCAGTAGTCAAGGTAGTTGCTGTTGTGCTTAGTGTCACTGAAAATGAGAAAAACCCACGCATTTAACCAAATAGTCAAATTTACTTTCTACAAGAAAGCAAAAAAACAAAACAAACAAAAAAAAAACAAAATTTACAGAAAAAACGCTGAGAAGTGCGACGCTTCTGCCATTATAATTAAAGGTTGTTAATCAAGAGATATGTACTTCTTAGTAACTGTTTACCAGCTTCTGAAGCTTTCTGACGATTATTTGGTCAGAACCGTGAAGGAAGACAGGAGATGTTTATATACAGAATTGCATGATCATGATTTTTGCTGCCAAGGGTAAATTAATAAAGCAAAACCAATAACTTACTGTGGCAAGTTTGAAGATATGTATTGTTATGCGGTGCAGTGCAAGGGTAATATATGCCATGTTTCCGTGAGACGTTGATATGTAGCGATATGTTAAGAGAAGACCATTCCCATTCACAATTGAAGATTCGAACCTCTGGATTGTGGTCTGTGTTGAATTTCTTCGTTCTAACAATCCCTTTGCAGGAAGCTATTAAAATAAACAAGAGTTTCATTTATGCCTGTTACTGGAAACGCTGCAGTAGTGTCCCAATCTTATATCTATTTCAGTCGTAGGGTGATTCCGATCAAACAAACGTTTTAGCATTTAAAGGGACAATGTCCCGGTTGATTAAAGAAATTGCTATATTTTAGTGCCGTATGACACCAAATATAAGAGATAAATTGAAAAGATTCTTCAAAGCAAAGTAAAACAATTATTTTTAGGAAGACGTACAGGATTAAGAGGATGGGAGGGGGTTGCAGTTCATCAAATCTGAATTTGATTTGGTGACAAGATGTCAAGAAGTTAAAATTTCGGTTCTGGTAAAACTTTGAATATTTTAACTTTTTTTTTTTTTAGCTGATGTTTCTTCGCCTTCAACACTTTTTGGATTTTCCTTTCCATTGCACGATAATGAAGCAAGTTCATAGCAAGCTTTGCCCACTGTTAGTAGAACACGATACACCAGCCGAGTATGTTGCTTGTCTCCATTCTTGTGCTATATATGTGTTTTCTCACTTTCCTACAGCTATTGTCCTGTCTTCAGTTATGAAATGGATAGGTGAGAAAATGGCTTATTACTATGTTTAGAAACATCCACAGCGTATGCTCCCAGTATATAATAAAATCTCGAAATCGTACAAATGTAAATCAAAGTAATGGTCAGAAAATGTCCTTCAATAGTGATATGTGCAGAATGAATCCGAATCTCAGACGCAGTCAAACAAACAAATAAACATACGAGCACAAAAAGGAATACCTGGTCTTCTTGTGAGTGTGTTGTTTTTGTTTTGGATAGAAACTTCACAGCACATTCGGGTTGCATTCTTTTGTTGCGATGCTTTGCAGCTCAAATCAATTTGTAGAGAACGACGAGTGCATTTCCAGGAGAAGTTGCCATGGAGTAGCTCGAAACTGTTGGTGGTCCGAAGTTTGTTGTTTTCAGTACACATTACTGTTAGATGGGAAAGTTAAATGAATATTATTAGGTAAAAACTATCTAGTGGCAGCATACAATTGATAACGTTCGGTTTGGGTAATACAGTCGAAGCTCTCGTAAGCAGCGACTACCTCGAGAATTCGAAAAAGTGGTCGTACCGACGAGAGCTGTTTTACGAGTACAGTTAGCATAAAGCAAGCGAAATGTAAATAGTTGTTATAATAATAGTCTAGTAGCTCTAATATTGAATATCACTTTATTTCACAAATGTACAGCCATTTAATCCACAAGGATTGAAAACCTCCCGGAATCACATATTCAGTACTGTGTCTCATAAGTCAATATATCAGACTCTTGGAATGGTCGCTTGCGAGAGCTTAAAAAAAGTAAATTAAACGGCAAGTTGGTAATTTCCAAAATTGGACGCGGTCACTCAAGGGAACGATCGCTCACGAGAGCTTTTCTTTACAGAGCTTGAATGAGAGTGCAAACATAGTTTAAAGATGATTTCCAGTCCGTACTGCGCAGTCTCAGCACCCTAATGTTTATAAACATTATAAACGGCTCACTCAATGGAATGCGATATTCGTTACAAAGCACATACCTTATCTTTGAGGCCTTCCAAATTGTTTTTCCAACAGCTTCATTGATTTTTACAGCTGCGAAGTTGTTTTATCAAGTGATATGAGAAAGAACGAAGCATAAAGCTTCGGCCGCATCGCATCCATAATGGCGATTGTTTTGAAACTTTGAATTTATTTCATGTAAGTAGTTGCGAAATGTTTACATTTTGTGATGTCTTACATGAGACAAAACCTAAAAAGCAAACAAACTCTCGAGAGTGCGCAGTACGGACTGGAAATCATCTTTAACAAAGGTGGTCGTAACTGGAGCTGGCCGCTTACAAGAGCAGTGGCAGGAAAAGCGTCGATAGTATATCACGCCGGGTTTAAAGTTTACAGACAATATGTACGTAAGGCTGATCGTGACTCACGTTATTTCAAACCGCTATTCAAAATTTCAAAAACTGTTTTGACAGTTTAAAATCAGCTTTTACATCAAAAAGCTAAATTGTCTGGTAGGAAGTCTTTTTACACAAGAATTCAAAAACGTGTACCCTAGATTTACACAGCCGTGTTGTAAACGATGGATGAGATCAAATAATATTACCTTTATACTTTTTTGACCGGGCCAAAATAACGACAAAAAAAATGACAAACCAGTCTTCACACTTCCACCGGAATGCCAGGAAAGCCTGGCATTCCGGTATGCCATTCTTGTTCGTCGTCGTAACGTTGCCGAATGCAAATGTATTGCCTTCGTCGCTATATCAATTTTCTATCAATGAGCAAATTCCAATCAATTGCCAGACTCCCATTCGGTTTCGTCGCGCCCGTATGCTTGACACTTCGATCCTACA